GCGGTTAAACGGCAAATATGTACAAATTACTACCAGTTGCATCTCACAACATTAAAAGAGGCTTCAATAAACATATTAGTTTAAAACAACATAGAAAGTAATTAAGAGCCTTCCGGGAACATATAAACTTGCCAGGTGTGTGCCACAAAGTAAATGGGCTGTAGGTTAATTGGGGCATTGATTGTCATAGGTCACGAGGCACTTGAGAACCAATAATAACAGGCTGTGTTCCTTCACACGCCAACCAAGCTTAAACCTGAAGGTGTTGATAGTACAGCGCTATGGCAGAATATTAGTAAACAACCATTTTATAAACGCATCAAAGCCATCGTATGTTTTCTGAGGACTTTAAATATTGTTATCCAAGTCTGAATTACATTGTGAAATATGTTTTGGGGGATTTTGAGAGTCATGTTTGGACTTCCTACACAGTTGGACACATTAAGGTGAGTAAATTAGTATTTTTTTATACTTTTAACGTGTACTTGTACTATGACAGCTTCTCTGCCTGTAACCTGTTGCTTTAGTCTACAAATCCATCCTGACGTTTTTGCTATGTACGTTACCTTGCACGAGCTGAACTTGACTTTCAGCGCGCTCACGTCCAAGTTGTTCGAGCATGCCAAAGTCCACGTGCAGCGCTCGAGGGGGCGTGTCAGTTGCGCGCCAGTCACGTGCGTCAGGCGTGTTGTTGACACCGCCGGAGGGAGAGCCGCATCTGCTGTCACACCGAGCCGACTTTTCTATTAATAAGGGCCGCTGAACTTTTAGATTGTTTAGTATCAAAACACGCGTTAAACAGGCTGCTCTAAAAACGTGTGCTCTCCCTGAAGGCGAAGGGTGTTGAGGCTTTGATCAGCTGCTGGAGTCAGAGCTCAGACCAACTTAATCTACTGCGCAGTTTTACACCGATGAAACAAACACAGACAGACTGACACTTCACAGTTGCACACTCCGTGAGATGCAAGATGCTAATGTTTACTTGTGTGAGTGGCTGAACTCGAATGAAAACTTGAGTCTGTGCTTTAATGTCCTATAAACTTGTTATGACTTTTATTATGTACTAATAGGAGTTAAAGTTGTGTAGTTGGGTTATTTGTCGACAATATGTCTCAATCCATAAAATAGATATTGTGATAATACATTGAATTTAAATATATTGATTATATACATATTTCAATCATAATCAGGGGCGTATTTAACCAAGCGAGGTAAGCGGCCCCCTATAAATATCTTGAAGTAAAAATTATATTGTGTATATAATATAATTTTCTACCATGTTTTGTATAATGAGTTAAACAAATAAAATTTTAACGTAATTAAATATTTAATCTACAATCAAATATAATATTGTTATAATAATGCAATTTTATGTAATGGTAATAATATTACAAAATAAAATATCATTCAGCAGTCAAATTTAATAATTTTTTTATTTTTGATTTTTAGTTAAGTTTATTTTAAGAAAACTAATCATTCAAAGAGATTGCATTTATTTAAAATGTCGAAAAGAAGATTGATATAAAACGCAGCAATATAAATAAATATTTAATAAGTTGAAAGGGTGTGTTTCAGGACTTGGGTCCTATGGCTGAAATTGCTTAGGGCCCCAAAATCACTAAATCCGCCCCTGATAGTAATGGACATTATTGTACTTAAGTGTATGTACGTCACATGCAAATCATAATTAGCTGATAAAGTTGTTGATAAACGTTATGCTAATTGCAGCCTGATTTCATGAGAAAGCATAAGTATTTTACGTTTTGCCAGTTTAGTGGCTAATTCGTACAAGTTCAGTCGTACGAAATTGTACATTTTAAAAAGGAGGCGTGGCACCTAACCCCACCCCTAAACCCAACTGTCATTGGGAGATGAGCAAATCGTTCTAAATTGTACAAATTAGATCGTACGAATTCATACGAATTAGCCACTCAATCAAAATTTACAAATTGCCATGAGATTGTGTTGGCATTGTTAAAGTTATTAATAATGATTTGTTTGTTTGATTGATATTTTTTTGCATGAAAAAGTTTACAGAAAAAAATGGGCTTTGAAATTCATGCTTTCCATAAAAAAGTCCATGAACTCAAACCTACAATGAAAATTATTTAAAGAGAAGAGGAAATAGTTTTTGTGTGTGTTTGTGCATGTTTGTGTGCGTGTGTGTAGTTTGTATTCTTAGTATTGACCAGACATTTTAATTTATGTATCGATTAAACTTTACAAAAGTGATTTTATATACATGGAAAGCGTATTCTAAAAGTGCTGGGTTTTTTAAGCCATTATTGGGTCAAATATGGACAAACCCAACAGGATTTAAAGGTTAAAAATGTCATTTTAAACTTACTTCGATAATATTTGTAATATTTTCCAGTACTGGGTTGCAGCTGGAAGGGCATTCATGTGCTGAAAAGTTGGCGGTTCATTTTGCTGTGGCGACTCCTGACAAATAAAGGGACTAAGCTGAAAAGAAAATGAATGAATGAATAATAGTAATATTTTTCAGTACTGGGTTGCAGCTGGAAGGGCATCCGCTTGTAAAACGTGTTGGATGAGTTGGCGGTTCATTCCGCTGTGGCGAGCCCTGATGAATAAAGGGACTAAACTGAAAAGAAAATGAATGAATGAATATTATGTACTTTCATCATGGCACTTTTTACTCAAATACTTTATAACCAACTCCAATAATTGCGGTTTGTCAATGATTAGTACACTGAATGACATTATAGTGTCTGTTTTTTTTAAGTATATTAAAATATTGCATTTTAATAATATTGTCTGAATTTAAGCTCTTATACTTTTTTTTTTTTTTTTCTGCTTTAAACTTTCAGCCTAGTGGTTATTAAAATACATATAATAAGATCCTGTTGGGAATCTTTAATTCCTGATCACTGTGTGTGTGTGGTTTGCTTTCTTAATATGGTTGTAAGACATCCATTAGAGTGCGTATTAAATGCAAGTACATTATATTTAAAAATAAGCAGCATACTCAATCTGGCATGTATTTATTAAAATACATAAGTAAATGTGACCTTAATAAATTGCATTATATTTTAAATTATTTTACAAAAATACACTAAAACATTCTTGCATAATAGTTTTTTTTTTGTTGAACCAAAGGAGCTTTTATAGTCAACTCCACATACATCAGTCAAACTGACTTAAATATTAAGTTTAAACTTTTTATAACTCAAAATAATTAGTTGTAACCTGATTAACTCATTAATATTAATTAAAGTAACATGTTTTTATTACTTTTTGCCATATCACTTTTACAGTGTAGTATTTTGGGCCTACGCCATGAGTCTTTATAACTCAAATACTTCAAATAACTGCACCAAAACAATTCTCACACTGACTGAATAGCATTGTATTTAGTGTCAATTTGTTTATTCAAATATTAAATTATTTATATTTCTTTACCAAGCTTTTAACTGATTTTAGCTCTCGTGCTTTTTCTCTGCTCAAACTAAACTAGCATAGTGGTTATAAAAAAAACGTATAATAAGATCCTATAGGAAATGTTGAATTCTAGATAACGCATTGTGTGTGTGTCGGCAGTTGTTTGGCCGTGTATCATTAGAATACGGGCAAAGGGATGAAAGTGCAGTGTTAATCGTTCTCTCTCTCTCACACACACGCACACGCGCGCGCGCATCCATTCATCGGCTATTGACAGCGCGTCCCTGTTGAGCGGCTGCGCTGGAGCTCCTCTCTTCTCTCCTCTCTAGCGCTGCCAGTGGACAATCAAACCTACACACCCACCTCTGTCTACACTCGCCTGTTCAACATTTCTTACTTCTGCTAGAAAAATACATCGCTACACCAAACCTCAGAGCTGTGAATCGCAGCGCGGCGCATCGTGATACACCAGCAGCAATAGCTCCAAAAGCAAGCACAACATGGAGTCCCCTCCAGATCCAGCGAGCGACCCGGGCAACGGCGTCTCAGAGCCGGTTACCCCGGTCAGGGAAACCCCGGTAAACCTGGAGACCCTCCGCAAAGCTGAGCACCAAGCCCCGGTGCGCCGGCAGAGCTGCTCCAGCACCAACAGAGGTGAGACGGATCGATTATTCGCAATCGACACCACATTGATTCTCCGTAGGGTTGATGAGCAAAACTTCAAAGTGAATTCATTTCAACTTAAATGGCGCGCGTAAAAATCATTCCAGAGCGCGGAATGCTGCAGGAATAAGACGGGCTTGCATGACATGCAGAGGAATTGTGATGCTTTTAGAGTTGCTCTTTTCGTTTGAGGGATTGATTCTGCAGTCGCTGCTGGATAGATGACAGGCATCGACGCTCAAATAAACACACGCGTTTGTCAGACAAATCAATGAAAGTTAATTTAAGATTTGTTCAGATGCGTACAATAATATAGAATTAGACCCTCCATAACATGGGTATGTTGGCTGATTAAATTAGTCTTAAAATTGGAGATGAAGTTTCTGATTGTATTTCATATTGCATTCATTGATTGTCAGCATGTCCAGTGCACGTGCTCTGTTTGCGCATCAGAGATGCGTAACGACTTGTTTCCCACACACAACGTATATTTAAACACTGTTTTAATATCTATTTTTTTGTACAAACGAAGATCGATCTGTTTTACAGTATAGACAGTAGGTTTTTAGCCACTCCCCCCTTCGGTGTCTCCATTCAACTCATCCAAGTTCTGTGTAAAATGTATCGGAAAACTTAAAGTGAACTAGTGACAGCGCGTAAAGTAGCGTCGCGAATCTCTGCAGATTGTTATGTGTCGCGCTGAAGGGTATATTTAGAGGCTGATTTGGTGAATGTGGAATGTAAGCTGGTTATGTAACAGGTTTTGCCATAAACAGACGTGGTAAACCATTCGATATCTTATGTGAAAGTATTGGGTTTAAATGCTTACACTAGTAAGTACACGTAGTGTTTTGTCAGTAGGTTTTCCTGAGGTAAAATATCTCGTATAACGTCGGAATCAAAACAAAACAAACCTAAATAAATGCTACCGCGTGGAACGGGAAGGCTGTTTAGTGAGGGCTGATAGAACGGTTCTTAATAATTCAAATGAAATGACGTCGAACGTTCTAACGATTCTATGGAACTAGAACCCTAGAACGCTGTTTCACTTTGTTGGTACTTTCCCCGCGCTGGGCTGTTATGTAATAGCAGTCAGAACAGAAAGAGGCAGGTATTGGGAGGCTGTGTCCGGATGGGAGTTTTTAGGCAAGTCTTTTAAAAAAAGAAAGGAGATTGACTTTGAGACACTGCTAACCTGCTGACCCATATTCACCCCCCACCCTTTACAGCAGGACTAAAGTGCATCTGGAAGGGAAAGGCGAAAGAAAGAGCGCCTCTGTCCTGTTATGTAACCCTTGTGTTGAATGGAGGACGAGAAACAAAAGTGTTCAGTGGGACTGTTCTGCTCGGCCGTGTTAGAAATCCACTTTGCTTTCGCAAGACTTGTGCAACAAACACACTAGCAGCAGTCAATAGAGCCGAGAGGTCATGACATCAGCTGTACGCTGGCGAGTTTTGATTTATGACTTAAATATGTTATGTCATAGGCATTTACTGGATGATAAACTGTCATGCTTCTAGGATTTAGTTTCGAAGCATTAATTTTGGTTGCTATTGGAGCAATGCAATCATTTCTGATTTATCACAAGCTTTTAGCAACAAGTTAAACTACTCATGTTTGCGGTAAGTTTTACTGTGTTAACTTAAAATACATCATTTTAGTTCCATTGCATACTTTAGAAGCCTTCAGGGCCTCAGAAGTGAAACAAGTGGTACTGATAGGATAGTTGTCTGGTCGAATGGCAAAAGTTTAAAAAAAAGTTGGCCTGAAATTAATTTGAAGAACTAATTTGATTATTAATAATACTTTATTACTATTTATAATGCATGACAATACATTTATACACACTAAAGTGTAAGTCATTTTTATATATATATATATATATATATATTATATATTATATAAATTAGATTAAATTGTTGTTGTTGATTTACTATTTAATAATATTTAAGATTAAAAATATTTTTAAAATAGCTTTTATTATTATTGTTATTGATTTACTTTTTAATTATAATATTAAAATTATTTCCTACTATTATTATTATTATTATTATTATTACTGTTATTGATTACCGTTTCATTATAAGATTAAAAAATACTTTAAAATTGCTATTATTATTATGGATTACTATTTAATTAAGCTTAAAATTACTTTAAAGCTGCTTTTATTATTGTTGATGTTGCTGTTGTTAATTACAATTTTAATTAGAAGATTAAAATACTTTAAAATTGCTACTATTATTATTATTATCATCATCATAATCATCATCTGTAAAATGCATTTCTGTATATGAAGGCTAGACCTTTTGGTATTTTTAAACATTTAGATAATATCTTGTAATATTGTTTTTACAGAAAATGATTGGCTGTTTTTGTAGGAAAGACATCATAGTAAATAATTTAGTGTGATAATAAATAGTATAATAATAGTAAAATACTTGTTTTATTGTGAATTAATATTTTTTTCAATGTCAGATTAAAACGGTGAGTAAAGCTGACAAAATATGTAAAATCCAGCCTATTTTATTTTACTTGGTGACATTCAAAAATGTACAAAGTGCGCATGTTTAATAAAATGAAAACATTTATAATTTCAGCAAGTTTCCAAAGATATATTACTTATTGAAGTAAAATAACTAAAATAAAAAAACAAACTATAGGCATTACGGGTGCCACAGTGGGTAGAACGATCGCCTTGCATGTTGTTCCCTTGTTTGCATGGGTTTCAACCGAGTGCTCCGCTTTCCCAAACAGTCCAAAGACATGTGCTATAGGTGAATTGAAAAAGCTGAATTGGCCGTGTATGAGTGTGTCTGGATGTTTCCCAGTGTTAGGTTGCGGCTGGAAGGGCATCCGCTGCATAAAACGTTTGTTGGGTAAGTTGGCGGTTCATTCCGCTGTGGCGACCCCTGATTAATAATGGGACTAAGCCAAAAAGTATATGAATGATGATTGAAGAAACAAACTAAAGCAGGTAAAATGATCGAAAAAAACTACAGATGTAAAGACAAACGGTTCAAACTAAAATAAAAATTGTAAATGAAATAAAGTACAATTGGTGCTAAAACAACACTAATTAGCAAGCGATCTAATGAATTAGCTGTAAGCGAATTTAGAATTTCTATTTAGCATTCGTTTCTTCAGCTCTGTTTTAATTTAGATTATTTTTGGATTAATTCTGCAGCCCTGATAGATGCTTCGGGAGAGAGTGACAGAAATAGTTTCAGCAGCACACTTGTATCCATTCTAAATGCTTGCTTGCTGACTGCTGTTAAAGCTCATCATGTACATTATTTTGTTTTTATGACGCTATATAAATATCAAATTCACACTCTACTACATGTTTGACCAGCTGTGACTGTTAATCATATTTTTGGCTGCTTAAACACAAAACCGTGGTTCAGTCAGATCTCCACACAGGCACGTGAAGCTGCTTTATTAGTAGTTAACCACATGCAGTTTGTGGTTTTTGCTGGTGGTGTGCTAGGGAGTTTACTGTGAAACCACACCGCTTTCATCACCAGTCAAAAGATGTCTGTGTACATATGGAGAAAACCATAGGAAGTTTGTTTTTATGCGTTTCAGAGTTATTAGAGTGTTTGAGTTTCACCAAATAGCTTTTTTGGGCCCTTTTGTTCAAGTATACACTAAATGTTGAGGAAAGGCAACCTTAAGCTGCGCTTGACTTAGTTTAGATTCTGATTAGTTTTTTTTTATTGTACCTTTTTGGTCGTTAAGCTTTAATATTTATGTAATGAAGGTTTCATTTGAATTAAATGTCATCCAGTGGACTCAAAATATTACTTTTATTAGAAATATTACTTAAACTTGGAAGGAAAATGTCAGGACTGTAGTTAGTTCACACTTCATGTGTGCGTTTGTTTCAGTAATTTTGTATTTAATCTCTCTTTATTGTAATCAATATGGTTTAAATGGTTAATAGGTCCAACTCATTGTAGTAAATATATTTTGGAATAATAAAAATTTAACTCTACACTCACTTGCCACTTTATTAGGTACACCTTACTAGTTTTTGGTTGGTCCCCCTTTTGGCTTCAGAACTGCCTTTAATCCTTCGTGGCGTACATTCAACAAGGTACTGGAAATACACCTTACGCCCTATTCACACGGGGCTTCAGCGTCAACGCTTGACTGAAGGTGTGTCTGAAGTTGGGGTTAAAGTGATCATCATAGAAGCGTCAGCCAATGAAATTCAGTCAGCAATAGGCCATTGTCTAGCTGGTGTATTTGCATACAGCGATCTGATTGTCTGACGCTTTCGTCGGTGCTTAAAGTTGAGCTGTTCCCAACTTCTGTAGCAAGCAACACCTCTGAAGTGGCGCAGACGGATCCACAATGCAGTTCGGCAATGCCTGACATCACCCATTCAAAGTGAATGGAAAGCGTTGGCGCTGACGCCCCGTGTGAATGGGGCGTTAGAGAATTTGGTCCATATTGGCATGATAGCATCACACAGTTGCTGCAGATTTGTCGGCTGCACATCCATAATGCAAATCTCCTGTTCCACCACATTCCAAAGTGCTCTATTGGATTGAGATCTGGTCACTGTGGAGGCCATTTGAGTACAGTGAACTCATTGTCATGTTCAAGAAACCAGTCTGAGATGATTTGCGCTATGTTATGTTATCCTGCTGAAAGTAGCCATCAGAAGATGGAGACACTGTGGTAATAAAAGGATAGACATGGTCAGCAACAATACTCGGGTAGGCTGTAGTGTTGTCACAATGCTTATTTGGTATTAATGGGCCCAAAGTGTGCCAAGAAAATATCCCCAACACCATTACAACACTAGCCTGAACCTTTAATACAAGGCAGGATGAATCCATGTTTTCATGGTGTAATGCCTAATTCTGACCCGACCATCCGAATGACTCAGCAGAAATCGAGACTCATCAGACCTCGGTTGTGACGAGTGGTTATTTGAGTTACTGTTGCCTTTCTATCAGAAAAAATCCAGCCATTCCCCTCT